TTTATACAGGAAAAGGGGTTTTAATGGACTTACAGTTCCACGTGGCTGGGGAAGCCTCACAATTATGGTGGAAGGTGAGGAGGAGCAATTCACATCTTACATGGATGGAAGCAGGCAAAGAGAAAGAGGTTGTGCACGGAAACTTCCCCTTATGAAACCATCGGATCTCATGGGACTTATTCTCTATCACTAGAACAGCATGGGAAAGACCTGCCCCCATGATTCAGTTACCTCTCACTGGGTCCCTCTCACAACACATGGGAATTTAAGTTAAGATTTGGTTGGGGACATGGCCAAACCATATCAGTACCTATGGTGGGAATAGAATACGAGGTAGACTTGATCCTAGCAGACACAAAAGTCTTCCTCAGAACTTTAATGAAATAGGGTGTCTAGGTCCCATTCAGCCCCTTGATATCTCTGGACCGAACATTCTGTAAACTTTATCTTCTGTAGCTACATTAGTCTTTAATGATGCCACTTAAACCTCAAAGCTGGGGTAGTCCAGTTTATCAACACACTTAAGGATATAACTATTTTCTATAGAATTTTCTCTTTGGCTCTGCAATGAATTGACATGCAAAGCCATATGGCAGTCTGTCTTAGCCAAATATTTTCATCTAGTCTCAGTTGCATCTAGCTAGGCAACCTGCTTTCAGTGAACAATCTGAATGTTTCAGAGGATTTACCGTAGTGATTTGGTTCACCTGAAAACTGCGGGTCAAATTGTCAGAAGGTACATAAGATGCATGTGAATTTATGCAGTTACTTTTTGGTGGTTTCACATGTATATGTGTGTGCTTTGTATGTAGGACTCAAAAAACATTCAAATGCTTTCAGCAAATAACTATTAGTTAAATGCAAGGTATTTTAATAAAATTATTAGAATAATACATAAACATATCCTCCCCAGCACAGCTTTCTTCCCTTTTGCTTTTATGGTATAGTACATGATGACACAAAAGAGACTTGCAAGGTTTGTAAAGACTAATAGGATATATATGAGGATATACATGAATTTCCTATTCTACCCTCAGATTAACTGAGCATTGTGGGGTTTCATAATAATGTTTATTAGAAAAACAATGAAGGACTTTCAGTTATAGTTTATCTGCTGTTATAATAAAATATCTCAAGAATGTGTTAAGATCAATTTATATATTGTGTTTACAGAAGTATGTCTTCAAAGCTTTCTCTTCTTATATTCTAATGGGAATCAAGAGATGTATTTTGTGTTTCCATGAGCTATCTATAGCCAAATATGTTGGGGAAAATGATCTTTAAGGTTTTTCCATCAGTGGTTTAATTAACATACAGTAGACAGAAAGCAAACAATCTGTTCATGCAGACTATTCAGAGATCCCTCCTGTTGTTTTTGTTTTTACTACAGCTGGAAAGGGAAAAATTGTGTCACATATGTTCCTTCGTCTTGCTTCTGAATAATTTGTTTTGATGCTAATTTAAAGAGTAATTTAAAATATTTGTATGAGTTTGAAAGTCTGTGAAATGCACAGGAGTAATTTACAATGTAGATAACAAAGCTGTGATTTTTTTCTGATTATCCTGTCTTTAGTCTGTAAAACATCTATTTCGACTTGTTTTGTCTTCTCTAAAAATCATTTAGAAGTAGGATCAAAATCAAAGTCAGTTTCATACTTTTCAGTCTTGATGCGCCATGTATTACCGAATTATAAACATATAATAGGGTTTCCTCTCTGCACGACCAGGTAGCTTGTTTATTCATGACATAACCAGAAAGAAAGAATTAGGTTTAAAATGCCAACCAAAAGGATATTCATGGATGCCAGACCCTAAAGCTCACAAATATTCTCATTAGAAAACTCCTCAGGTTTTTCCTGAGATGCTGTTTACTCTTTGCAAACACGATTAGAGCAAGCAAGTGATCTGTGTTCCAAGTTTGAGGTAGCAAATTCTAGTAGGCACAGGGTTGGAGGTTTGTCAACATTTGACTATAACAGCTGTCAATGGTGACAGCAGGCTAGAGATACAAAAATCATAAAATGCTGGTAAATAATAGAGAAAAAAAAATCAAACCTCAGCTGTCTAGCGACCAAACCTTGAAAGTGCTAGAGTAAGGATATACACTTGTTTCATACAGATGCTTACCTGTCTGCCAAATTCATTCTTCCCTAATAATCCTGCTAAAGGATGAGTTTGAATGTTCAGTATAAAAACAAGAGTTCGACACATCCATCAGACTTCTCAAATTTCAACTTAAATGCGAAATACAGACTTTATCGTTTCTCAGTTTTGGAGCTCATTCGCATAATGCTCTCTAGAGAAAAAAGGCAGGAAGAAAAATAGGAAAGAGAATTTGAGGAAGTTGAGAAGTTGAATCCCATGCAGAAGGCTCCTCCAGGGTTACACGTTCCATTTACTGTCTGTTCTGTGCCAGGATCCCAGAAGCTAATTTAAAAGGGCAAGGAAGGTGCAAATGGGTGTTCTCGAAAGTTCTGTTTTGTCTTATGTTATAAATATCTAAAAAATGGTAAAAATTAATATCAAGGAGGGAAAAAGTGACACTTATTTGAAAGAAACCAAGAGCTGCTTTGAAATTCTGTTTTCGAGATTTTAATGAAGACAAATCCTTTAAAATTGTAGCTGTGTGTATGTGTGTGTGTGTGTGTGTGTGTGTGTGTGTATGTGTGTGTGTGTGCGTTCTCATTTATATTTTGGAAGACTGACATACCTCTGGTTGACATCATTCCCTTAGTGCGTATGTTTTTTAAATACCATTTTTTTTTCCAATCTAGAATCATTTAATCTATTCTCTCCATTAGGTTTGCTACCCTTTCTTATCTAGGCTGACATTCTAACAAGGATTTTGCATGGGTTTCAGTGATTCCTACATGACTCTTTGTGTTTGCATAGCTATGTCAGGGGTGTAACTTGCTAAGAGCTACTACAGCAAGTGCAAGGAAAATGCAGGTATCTGACTTTGACCTAGATGTTGTGGTAGGAGGCCTTACCTGGTTGTCATGAAGTTTTATTGCTCACCTGGGTTATAAGCTGCCTCCTATATTTTTGGTAATGAAGAAGGATACATAAATAAAGCAAGGAAAATTGCTTTATATAGCTTTCCCTAAAACCATAGGTCTTAGAACCTGACACAGTCTCAGGAAAAGCTGGCTGCTTTTAAAGGTAGGATGCTTTCATTCGCATTTAAAATATAGGATAACGAAAGCACAGAGACTTTTGAAAATTACGCTGGATCATACAACCAGCAAACCTACTGGAAAGAATTCCAGCTTGAATCTCCTGGATTCTTCCTTGCACATTAGTTTTTTCATTACTTAATTTTGCCTGGTCTGATGATGCTTGCTCCAAATAGACTGTCAAAAATTCATTCCTCCACTCATTCAGTCAGCCAATAAACATATTTTGAGTACTGGCTTGATAGCCAGTAAGGACAATGTGTTACAGAAAGAGATATATTCTACAGTGATGACAACACTGCTTAGATGTGCTTAGTAAACACTTACAGTGTGGAGGCCGGGACGGTGTTCACACTCAGCCCTTTATGTACATGAGGTTTTTTTTTTGTTTGGTTTTTTTTTTTTTTCCCTACAGCAATTCAATAAAATGAACAAAATGGTACTTTCTCTTGCTCTTGGGTTTATCCCTGTGAAGTTTTGGCCACTTTGGTCTCCGTGGTCCTTTTGAGCTCTAACATTCTGTGAGCTCAGGAAAGGTCTGGATGGCAGACATGGTGGTAGTGTTTCCTTCTGGGTTCTGTGCACCAAAATATCAGATAATTAGAGATCTTTTAAGTTTACTGTGAAACCAAATAATATCCTCTCTGTCTAGAAGAATTACTTGCACTTTTCTGAGTTAAAAAGGAGGTAGTTTAGGTGATCCTGCCTATGATCGGTAGTGGTGACTTTAAGTTAGTCATCAGGGTTCTAAGCAGCTGATTAATTGTATTGTAAGCTGCATGAAATATATTTTGGCTTCTTAGAATGTTCTTGTACCAAGGGAAACATAATAGCTGTAGTTAAATCACTACTCTCTTCTCCCTTTTTGAACCCGTATCTTGCCAGTTCTAAAACCTCTCCCTTCATATCTTTTCGTAATAGTGGGCTGCAAGAAGACTGTTCTTGTTCGGAAACTGAATTTCCAGTACCTGCGGCACACCTTCCGCTGCTGACCTACCGAAATAAAAGACGAGGAGTCATGATTAAATCTCATTTTTTACTCCTGGAGTAGCAGGATGAGCTGGGTCAGCAAGGCCAGTCCCAGCAGATGGCTTTAAAATGCCTTTGTGATTTCATCTCCTTGTCTTCCCATCCATTTCTATAAGTGCCCATCACTGTCATCCTTTAGACCCTGACAAGATTTCAAGGTGAGAACAGTGCAAATGAACAAGAGTGCAGTGATGACTCGTGAGAGTCTTACTTATTAAATGGGTCAGGCAGTGAACCAAGACTGGCTTGTAAGCTACCAGGTAGTTTCACCCATTTACACGAAGACAATTTCATGTATTATTTAACCCATTCAAATATACTGGTGTCCCCGTGCTGTCCAGCACAACTCAAGTGAAATAAATGTAAGCTTACAAGTAAATAACGTCTGACTTTTATTTTCAAAATAATCTGACAATCACTCAATTTCATCCCTTTGTTTGGATTCTAGCTTGCTTTCTCAGAATAGCTAGAGAATGTTTATGAAATGTGCGTGCAGAAGGGGCAAGGGAAAGGAATAAAAATGCGTTGCTTCAGGGCTGCACATCTGTTTTTAAAAACTCTGCAAGATCTTCCCGCTAACCATTGTCACAACTCCTGGTGTTTCCTGCCATTGCATACCAATCAGGGACGTTCGTACCAGCTCAAGATATTACAAGTAAATAGATTTCACTGTTACAAGTTAGTTTCCTATTCTCATGCCTAACATAACTATTTTTCCTTCTCAAGCCAATAGCGCCTGCCTGTATATGGCACACATAATGAGTGATAACACATTTTCTTTCTTTTTTCAAACAGATTGGCAGTATGGAGTTGCTCAGGCCTTCCCTCACACAGAGGAGGTGGTGGAAGTCAATTCACACACATACAGCCACAGGTGGAAAAGAAGCTTGGACTTTCTCAAGGCGGTAGACACGAACCGAGCAAGCGTCGGCCAAGACTCTCCTGAGCCCAGAAGCTTCACAGACCTGCTGTTAGATGATGAGCAGGACAATAACACCCAGATTGAGGTAGATACATAGTCTGAGTAATTGACATGGATTAATGAATATATGTCATGTTAGGTGCCCAACTTTTATATGTACGTAAGTTGTCTCTTCATCTCAGTCTAGTACTTTTGGATTTCTTTTAAAGAGCAATTTAATTTATTAATATATACAATAGCTAAGGTGCTTTACCATCCATTAATTCATTTTCAGACAAACACAGGCTTGGTGTGGTGATGACAGTGAGGCAACAGTACTGCACCTGCTCTCAAGGAATTCATTGTGTAAGAGTATCTATTTTTTTTTCTTTTTGAGACAGAGTCTCACTCTGCTACCCAGGCTGGAGTGTAGTGGCAGGATCTCAGCTCACTGTACCTCTGCCTTCCTGGTTCAGGCAATTCTCCTGCTTCAGCCTCCTGAATAGCTGGGACTACAGGCACATGCCACCACACTTGCCTATTTCTTGTATTTTTAGTAGAGATGGCATTTCACCATGTTGGCCAGGCTGGGCTGGGATGCCTGACCTCAGGTGATCCACCCACCTGGGACTCCCAAAGTGCTGGGATTACAGACGTGAGCCACCTCACCTGGCCCTGTCTAAGAGCATCTAAGTGCTATAAGCAAATCATCCCAGTACCATGGGATATGTACAGAAAAATATGCAGGCTGTAGTGTGGCATGAAGGAGGGTGTGATGAATCTGCTTGGGATTGAGAGTTGAGGTGTTGTCAAAGAGGCTTAGCCTAGAACCGAGCATTTAGATGGGGGCTTGACGGATTGAGAGGAGTTCACCTAATTAATGATCTGTTGATGGGAAAAGGGAGGGGTATGCTAGGCAGAGTAAATGCCTCTGCATTGGCTGAGTTATAGAATGGCATATCCAGGACTGTCTCATAGGGTGACCACTGGTCCCAGCTTGCTCAGGGCTAGGGGATTTTCTGGGACATAGGATGGCTTCCAGTGTTAAATATGGGACAGTTCTGGACAAACTGGGGTGATTGGTCTCTCTGTCTATGAGTTATTATTTATTATGGTTGGAGCTATGAAGAGGAAGGAGGAGAATGACCAGAGAAGAGTTTGCTGAGTACAAACATTTGCAGAGGGTGCGTTTTAGGCAGATTTTAGGGTTGCTGCCTCAAAGGCCTCAAAGGCAGTGTTACATTTCTTAAGTTTCTGTAGTCCTTGGTGCTGCAAATCAGAAAATAAGATCTTGTTTGTAAACTAGATCCAACAGAACCAAGCAAGTAAATTTGGGCTAAAACGTGAAGACCACCCAAAAGAGAACAAACAGAGGTGATTTATCCAGTTTGCTCGGGCAAGGCTTCAGCTGCCATCACTTGATTTCAGCAGAGATATTAAGGCAGGTCAGGGAGTGGAAAGGTTTTTAGTGAAAAATAGACGATTCTGATGCACTCTGATTGGAGGTTGTTGCCATGGGGAACCTGGAGGTGGGCTAATTAAAAAAAGCATATTTTTTTTCTTTCCTTCCTTCCCTTCTCTTCTCTTCCTTTTCTTTTCCTTCCTTCTTTCCTTCCTTCTTTCCTTCCTTCCTTCCTTCCTTCCTTCCTTCCTTCCTTCCTTCCTTCCTTCATTCTTTTCTTTCTTTTCTTTCCTTCTTTCTGTGTTTTAGCCTGTCAGCCAGGCTGGAGTGCAGTGGCACCATCTCGGCTCACTGCAACCCCCGCCTCCTGGGTTCAAGCCATTCTCCCGCCTGAGCCTCCTGAGTAGCTGGGATTACAAGTATGCACCACCATACCTGGCTAACTTTTGCATTTTTAGTATAGACAGGGTTACACCATGTTGGCCAGGCTGGTCTTGAACTCCTGATCTCAAGTGATCCACCCACCTCGGCCCCCCAAAGTGCTCAGTTTAAAGGCATGAACCACCATGCCTGGCCAGAAACAGCACCTTTTGTGATTTGTTTGAGGAACATCTTTGACTTTCAATGGTTGGTCCTGAGTGTGATGAGAAGACAAAGAAATAGAGAAGCTCTCAGCCACTAAGAAGTCCTGACCTTACTGGGCTGACTACTGCCAAGGCTGTGGTTTGGCTTCTTGAACTTGCTGCAGTGGGGGTTGCATCAGAGTGCTATTGTCATGTATGCTCTGCTCATTGTCTGCTGGTACATTCTCTCTCAACCTGAAGTTACAGTTCCTACTTTCTCTGAGGTGACAGGCTTATGATTTCTGAGAACCAGGCAACATTCTTTTTACTGCACCAGGGTCCCTGAAATACTCATTATTTAAGAAAAAGAACTCAGCTTCCTGAAGCAGATACTACCTAGTCCTGCAAATAGTACCAAGGCATCATTTTGTTCCCTCGTAGTGAGAGAAATCCTCAGAAGATCTGAAGCACAGGCTGTGAGAATTTGGTATATTAAAAAAATACAGCAATTTCTCAAACCCCGCTTCATGGCCTTAGCTGTTATGCAGCCATGGGGTTCCCAGGCTGCCCCAGCCAGGTCACTTAGCAGACAACGGTGGATGTGTTAGGAGAAGTCTTATGATCTATAAGAGGATATTCTGGCTCCTGAAGTGTGACCTGCTATTTTGGCAATGATGAAGTTATAGCAACTTGGAGCAGGCAACAAAATTCTTCCCCAGGTCACTCTTTAGCTGTGGTACAGTGTAAAGAAAGGAGAACTGAATAGAAACAGAGGCGTTGGCCGGGCGCAGTGGCTCACGCCTATAATCCCAGCACTTTGGGAGGCCGAGGCAGGTGGATCACGAGGTCAAGAGATAGAGATCATACTGGTCAACAAGGTGAAACCCCGTCTCTACTAAAAATACGGAAATTAGCTGGGCATGGTGGCATGCGCCTGTAATCCCAGCTACTCGGGAGGCTGAGGCAGGAGAATTGCTTGAACCCAGGAGGCGGAGGTTG